TTGGAGCTGGCAGGTTCGACTCCAGGCTCGGTAACTATAGCTTTTGATTTTTATGTGTGTTCTATCATTCTACTTTGTTTTTTTAAGAGTGTCAATCAATGCATTGTCTATTTGTTTATGACATTTAATAATACGTACAAGCCATTGTCCTTGTACACAATGCGGTGATCTGGTTTGACTATGAATACGTACAAGCCATTGTCCTTGTACACAATGCGGTGATCTGGTTTGACTATGAATACGTACATTCGAGCGCGAACAACGATTACCCCTTGCCTCAATGTCGTTTAGACTGGGTCATTTATTGTTTCTCCCCACCCACTTAACAACCCGTTCTAACCATATCATGCTGCAGGTAACTACTAAATCAACCCTTTTTTTGCCCGCTATTATTCAACCCGTATCAAACATGGATCCTTACTACAATAATGTGCGGAAAATCATAATTAGAGATGACGGTGTAAAAAAGAAGATGTATAACATAAAATTAAGATGTTAAAAGAAGACTAGAACTGAAGATAAACATACCATTTATTAAACAGTAACTGATTAAATGGTTTGACCAACAAATACACGCATCCTGGTATCGACTATAATGGGGAATAATTAAAAAGTTTTAAAAAATATATAATAATCATAGGTAGGTACTTCTAACGGCTACCGCATATATATAATGATCCTGTATGCTAATGACTTTGTTCAAACTGCAGTTTGTTGAAGTTTTTGTTTGCTTGTTTATTGGTAGCACTGGCACACAAGAGTTTTGGGCTGACTGGTTTGCTGTAAAGTTGGAAGTGCAAACGACGAGTTGACAGACTAAAATTGCTGCAAGTATTGCAAATTACTGCCCTTAAACATCTGCTAAAGTCAAAGTCTTTATCTCACAACACTAAGATCAAACTATATAAAACGTTGACACGACCAATCGTTTTAAATGCCTCTAAAACTTGGAGCAGGGCAAACAGAGAGAAAGCCTTATTACACATTTTCGAAAGAGTATTACGACGAATTTTTCGACCCATCAAAGATGCAAACAGCGGGGAATGGAGAGTGAGAAACAAAAACGAAATTCATAATCTTTTTAAAAACCACCGATCACTGACATTATGAGATCTAATAGACTGAAATGGCTTGGGCATACTGAGAGTTTGTCAAATGACAGAGAGGTAAAAACTGTATACACAAGGAACCTGAATGGTCGTAGTCCACTAGGCAGAACAAGAAGACGATGGAGAGATAACATCCAGATAGACCTGCAAAGACTTGGTGTCACCAACTGGAAAGAGAAGCCGAACCAGAGATATGATTGGAGGTGGGTGATATCTGCAGCAATGAACCTCATGGGCTCGGAGTGCTGAAGAAGAACTAGAAGAATTGCATGTTATTATAATGCATTCTGCTTGTTGTCAGTCCTCTCTGTTTTGTTTTTTGCTGGCACAAGAACGGAGCAGTTAGCGGTTGGTTCTCTACACGGACACACATGTATATTGCAACAACAAGTTTACAAAAGATTTGAGTAATGTTTGTTTATTTACAAACAAACGATACATTGACACATTGGCCATTAGCCTCATGTTGATTACAATTTGATAATTTATTTCTGACAGTTTTCATAAATTCTTCTTTACAATGAAGCACTTTGATCAATTCTCCTTGACCACATTCCTGTCACTGTTTCGCACTTTCCCGTATTTTGCTTGTTCTGCCGTGCCTGTGGGAATAGATACAACTTTGACTGTAGGAACAGCAGACATAAATTTTAACTCATGTAGTGCCAAACTACAAACTGCTCCTTTACTTTGTATATATGACCAGTACACTGACGGTTGTACGAGAGGTCAACTGTTTATTGAGCAACTAAATAGTTTATGTTTCTTGATACATGATACGTAAAGGCTGGAGGATAAGGACAGGACATAGCTAGATGGTAATATGTGCCAATACTTTGGGACAAAATCTTTGCAACACACAGGTTGGAATTTATTTTACTGTATCATTTCTGTTTTATTCCCTTTGCTTGAATATATTATCTATATCTACCATGTTTTCTCTAGTATGAGATTCAATATATTTTTTTAAATCCCCTCAGCGTCCCGGAAAGTTTGCCTTCTACATGTGTTTCTCTTAGGAAAAGAAAAAATCGTTTTGCCTTGATATGTTGTATTTAGGACAGTCTTGGAGGATCTTAGCTGTTGCCTTAGGTGTCAATCCACCTGTGCAAATGTGTGTAAATTGTGTGTACATGTGGCTGCGAAGTCGATTGTACCTTTTTTTTTAAGACGCAGAAAAATGACTTGTTCTAGTCTGGCCAATTTATGGTAATAATCTTGTGCCGGTTTTTTATCATAACGTATCAAAATGGTCATCAGTTTGCAGGAATTGTGCAGAACATTGTTATCATGGCAAAACCATGGAAAGCCACCGTGTCTTCTGCAACTTTCCCGCTTTGTAAACTGACATGCCCAGGGTGTCCCATATAACCTATGCCCCCTTCGTGCTGGTCATCCCTGCCTCTTCTCCAAGAAAGCGTGCCTCTCAAAGTCTTCTCCCCTAAACAAAAATGGAGATTATTATAATATGACCGAAACAATTTTACTTTAACGGAAAGATAATAATAACGCGAGCAAATCACCCTTGATGTTCAGATTCAGCACGTTTCTCTTCCATGTCTATGGTATTTCAGGAATCTCTGTCTGTAGCGTTTAAGAAGAAAACCTCCGATTTTATTGTAAGTGACTGGGAGTTGGGGGGGGGGGGGGGGGATAGAATCACTGCTTTACATCAGCGTATTGGCTGAGCAAAGATGCATTTGCTCCTGATTTTCCCTCACAGTTTATTGCAGATGTTCCCAAGGACGACACTCTGACACGAACGTTCATGAAAGAATATTAGTTACAGAACCGAATTACATAAATAACGTAAAAAATATTAACATGCGATAGAACGGAATGGCAGATTCACACCGACAGCTCTACATGACCCATAAGGATACAAATGGATGGCGATAGTTATGCTGGTGTAAAACGTATAGTTTACAAAATGGACACGGTAATAATGCACGAGGCATATCAATTAAGATAAATTGGTCAATGTGTAGGTTGATAAAGGATATCGTATTCTGGTTTACTAAGAAATACCACGAAATGCCTCACTAATGACTATTTATCCTGATATACCTCATTATTTAAAAAAAAGAAATAAAAAAAAAAAAGAAAAGAAACAAGTACCATATATACGATATAAATTTACTAAATAATTTCAAGATATCATCATCATGTAGCAGGTCCTTTGCAGAACGTCGCTCTCATCAAAGTTTGCCTGAAAGAAACTCTGTCTCTCGCAAGTTATCCTGCCTCATTTACTTTCATACTCAAGGAGTCACTTATATCCTGTGCCCATCTTCGTGTCGGTCGGCCCCTGCCCCTCCTTCCTGGTACCATGCCTTCTGCTATAGTTTTTTTCAATCCGTTGTGGCGCTTGATATGACCAAAATATTTCAGCTTCCGAGAAATGATGCTGTTTAATAGCCAATCTTCCTTGATGTTCAGATCTTTCAAGATGTCAATATTTCTCATCTTCTTTGTCCAAGATATTCTGAGAATCTTTCTATAGCATTTCAGCTCAAAAGTCCTTATTCTCTTTCTTAAAGACTGAGAGATAGTCCACAACTCACATCCGTATGTAGCCACAGGGAAGATTCATGCTCTCAAAATTCTAATTTTTATCTTTTTGCTGGTGCTTAACCATAGACTTTTAAGGCTGTTCAATCTTTGCATTGCAAAGGCCGTCCTCCTTTTAATTTCTTTTGAACAGTCTCCATTCCTGTTTATTATAGAGCCTAGATATTCTAAGTTTGTGACATTTTCAATTTATTCATTATTTATTGTTATTTTTGGGTGACAGTCAGTTTTATCTCTGGACATTATTTTCGTTTTCTTTAAATTCAAGAACAGATTTTGATCTTCACTGTGCTTTTGGACAGACAATATTAAATTTTTTATTCCCTTTACGCTGTTCGAAAGGAGGACTGTGTCATCTGCGTAGCGGAGTTCCGGAATAGGGTTGCCACCAATTTTGAGCGGATCATAACTGTCACAAGTCTGGTCATTTTTGACATTTCTCATTATATTTTCTGAGTATATATTGAATAGGTATGGTGAGAGAATGCACCCCTGCCTCACCCCCTTTTGCACCTCGAACCAATCAGGTGTTTCACCAGATGCTTAGATGGCTGCTTGTTGTTCATGATAAAGATTTTCAATTAAATGCACTAAATGCGCTGGAAACCCCATACTTTTTATAATAGTCCACAGTTTGTGGTGCTGGACACAATCAAATGCCTTGCTATAATGAAAAAAAAAAAAAAAAAAAAAAACAAGAATGAAGACCTTTGTTGTATTCTCTGCCTTTTTCAAAAAATATTCTCATATTAAAGATGTGATCCCTAGTTCCTCTACCCTGTCTGAAACTCGATATATAGCTGACTAAATACCATCAAGATATAGCTTATTAACTATCTTCAAGATATAGCAAACTACATAACATCAATATATTCCTTACTAAATACAATCAATACATAGAAAACTAAATACCACAAAGAAATAGCTTACTTAGTATCATCAAGATATAGCTTACTTAGTACTATCAAGATATAGCTTACTAAATACCTTAAAGATATAGCTTACTAAATACAAAAAAATGCGACACATATCAAGATACAAACCTGTAATAACGCAATTAGGTTGAAATAATATGCAATACATTTAAAGCTAAACAATAAATACAAATAAAGCTTCAACAGTTTAGGCATTCAAATTAAAGTGCCTAAAGAAAGTTATCAGAGAGTCGTTTATTCACATCTATCAAGTAGTTTAAAATAAATCGTCTTAAGAAACAGTAACTTACTAAAACTACCAAGATACAGCATACAATAGGGACAAGACAAAGCATGCAGTAATAATTAGACTAACAACATACAGCTTACCAGACAGATCAAATGCTCAATATTTACCTGTAAAACAGAAATATTATTTCAGCATGCAACTTAAAATAAAAATCTGTGGCTTACAAAAAGACAAAACAAAAAATAATAATACAGGAACCAATATATGTCTTTTAAAACAGAGCAAAGATACCTAACACGACGCAGCATTCAAAATGGACAAAACTAAATAGGAAATCACAACGTAGCAAAAAGAGACAAACTCATCAGTTGAAAGCTTACATAGGAAAGACTACAAGAGCCTGTCCCGGCAAGGACACATACAATTCTTTGTCCCAGTACAGAACATATTAGACCGAGTCAACACATGCAATGTACAGATAATATTGCGTGCTACAGTGTCTGTGCACAGTGCATGCCGCAACTACAGATCACTAACCATATGAGAAATTAAAATAATTTGTTAAGTAGGTGCATCCACAAGAAACGGTTGTTCGAAACACCAGTTTGTGCTCGAGTTCTTTTTGTAGTTCGTTGATGTTCCCTCTGTCTGCGATGGTCGCTTGGATCTAGAAATTTACAGTGCGAAATGTCACAAACACCGCCATTCATTAGCTCCAACTTTGTGTCAACATATGTGATATCACGCTGAATTGCAAGAATGTTTGCAAAGGAATGTCAGCAACCCAAAATGTTCGAACTAGAGGATGTGCTACTTGAACTATCTTTAATCCTACGCAGTTGTTTGACATATGCAACAGACCAAGCTGTCTGACATTGGTAAATAGCCTGCTCAAATCGACTCTTGATTTACCTTCGTCTCCCTTTACTGTTATCCAAGGAATATAGATTATCTTCCTCTTCTAATTGTTGCCGATAGGTTGAATGGGTAATTTCAATAATTAATGTATACCCCTGTGCATATATGTGCGTATGTGTGTGTTTGTGTGTGTGTGAATACGATACACACACACATATATTTATAATGCATCTCAAAGACAAACGCAATATATGTGTGTGTGTGTGTGAGAGAGAGAGAGACAGAACGAGAGAGACATAGAGAGACACAGAGAGACACAGATAGAGAGAGAGACAGAGAGAGAGAAAGGAGAGATAGGGAGAGAGAGAGAGGGGGACTACTGCGTCCAGTAAAGCTAAAGATTATTTAAAAGCACACCAAATAAACAATGCACGTGTGTCTTTATAAATTTCCGTTTCTGATCCGCTTAAGAGTTTAACCTTTGGTAAACTAGGTTAAGTCTTCCATTTTAATACACACCGATTCCCGACTGGATAATTTTTACACTTTTTTTAACAAAGTATGTAGTCTTCAGGGAGTTCCCGTGGCGCAGCGGCTTGACGCTCGCCGCGGATCGGAGGGTTTGGGTTCGCTCCCTGGCGGAGCCAGACTTTTTTCAAAAATGATTTTGGCTCCCAGGTCGACCCAGCCTTGAGTGGGTACCCGGTGCAGTCCCCGGGAAGTAGAGGCAGCCGGCGTGATGCTGACCACATCACGCATCTTGTGCCGATTGGTCTTTTAAAATATAGGTCTAGCCCTCTATGCCCTATACGCCTAAAGGCGTGGAAAAAGGGTCCTTTACTTTACTTTATTATATAATCTGCAACAGGGCCCTTTAAAAAAAAATCTGTACTGAGCAAGTTACAGCATCTCCTATACCATGTAACACCTACAACGTATTGTTAAAACAGGGCAGTGTTTATCTATGATGCAGCTACTAACACAAACATGATGGGAGGTCAAATCAATGATCAACTTCGCTTCCCAGTAGTTAGTTGCACAGTTATTTAAATGTAAAGCAAGATAAGGTATCCTAGTTTTCCTCCTGATTTAAAATTCCGGTGTACCGTGATTAAAATGTCTTTCTTGTCTAAGATAAGTGATGACAAAATGAGACTATCTGCCACGCATTGCTTGTCTGAACTGGGTATCTAATAATATCAGGTGAAATAAGGACAAGGGGTGTGAAACAAACCGGCCGAACAAATACGATACACGATATACTTACGTGTTGATTTGCACACACATGTGGGACAACCCTTGGGATCCTTCACAAATCCGTTAGGGCACTGTATGTAACATACTGGGCCACATGGAACTGCACAAATAAAATTGGATATTTATTATTCAGTCATTAAAACATGTATAAGTAAGGCAACAGACACTTTTAGTGCATTTGGTGTATTGGGATTTCGCCTTTATTTTCCATGACCGTTCCTAGTAACCATTTGAAACGGATTTTTGGGAGGCATTGCCAAGAATAATAATAATAATAATAATAATAATAATAATAATAATAATAATAATAATAATAATAATAATAATAATAATAATAATAATAATAATAATAACAGTAATAATACCTGGATGGGTGAATGAACCGTAGACACTGGTCAACAAACAAGCGTCTGGCAACATTGTTTGTTACTGCGGTTCCTCATACAGTACATTTACACGCATAAGTTAAACCTGACCTCAGATATAATGCGATAAACAAATACCCATATTTACAGTCTTTTGCAAAATCGCTGCGTCCGTGGGTTAAGCGTTGCGAACGACCTTCCTAATACCGAGGTGCTGGGTGCGATCACAGTTGCCGACTTGCGTTGGTTTCAACAGTGGTATCGGAGGCCGAACGTTCATTACAATCAGCAAACTAGTGAACGTAAACTTGCCTAGTAAAACCACACCGCCAGACAATACCGGGGTGGACATTAGTAGGGGGTAACTGCTGTCGAGCTGACTTCAAGGAATCTATATTTTAAAAAATGTTAATTTTCCGATGTTGTTAGCTAAAAGCTTGGAAACCACTGAACCGATTGCTTTCAAATTTGCCCACAACGTTGCCTTTGACTCCAAGCGTGATTTTTTTGTTAAAAAATCGCATAAATCACGAACGACATAACCCCAGCAACGGTCAAATCATTATTTGTTTTGTTGCCGGCCTGGAGTGGTTTTTAGTTCGTTGACCATATTTGACTGCTGAGCTCTTATTGAACTTTGCATTATTATATAATTTCATTTCCACTATCTGCTTGAGTGTTTGGTAGCGTAGTTGATAGCTATTTTGCCTATCATGCAGTGACCCGCGTTCGATTCCCCGCTAGGTGATATACTTATTTTTTTAAGCCCTTAACTGGGCGTTGGCACGTTGTGTTGTGGTTTATGGCTAGGCTGCGATATCTACGCCTTTTTCGGTTTTGGGGTTTACAGCTAGCCTGGGACAGCGGCGACGTGATGCTCAATGGTCATGTCACGGGTAATCTTCGTTCGCCACCGAGAGGGCCGTTGGCACGTTGTGTTGTGGGTTACAGATAGGCTGTGATATCTGACCTAACCTCTTAAGTCGTCAGTAGTATAGTTGTAAGTATGTCATTCTTCACGCGGGTGACCGGTGTTCGATTCCCCAATGGGTGAAAATTGTTCTTTTTCCCTTAAAAGGGTGGTTGCCACGTTTTGTTGTGGTTTACAGCTAGGCTGTGATATCTGCGCCTTCGCCCAAACACATCTCATTTTAGTTAAGTCCTGATTAGCCTCCCCACGACGCTTCTCGATCAAAAATATTCGGCGATTACAGAAACTGTTAACTAAGACGGCTTACAGTCCAGTTTAGTTTGGGTGTACACGGACGCCAAGGTCAGTTAAAAATCGTTCCCTCGGAGAGGGAGAGATGACGGGTGCGGGGTATTTTTCTTCGCTATTCGAGAGTATAGTGTACTTTCCACTGTGGATTCCATCACTGGTTACGTGATGAAGTTTGTTTTTTCTATGTCGGGGGCAAAATCAAACTAAATAGTCCATGGCGATAGCATGCGGCGCTAACTCTTATTTTCTCCACCGACCTACACAGACTGTAGTGACATTTTTTGTTGTTGCTGTTGTTGTGATGGTGGTGGTGGTTGTGGTTGCAGTAGTACTGGTACTGGATGGGTGATGTGGTAGCTGTTACACTGGCTACATTTACTTCTCTGTACAAATTAATGCTACCTATTTAAGTCTGGGTGGACACGGACGCAAAGCTCAATTTAGTTACAATATTTCGTTACACGGTGACTTTCCCATCCTTCTAAGAAGATGATATGATTAGGGGGGGGGGGGGGATTATGCCAGACACAGTTAGCTGAGAGAGCTTAAATATTATTTTAAAGTGCTCATTTCTTAATTATTTCTATTTTAATACTTTCGCCAGGTGATGATTTTTCAATCCTTCGGAGAGGGAGATATGATAAGGGGAGGGGAGGGGGAGAGGTTTTGCCGGACACAGCTAGCTGAGAGAGCATACGATATTATTTTAATGTTCTCATTTCTTACCTATTTCTATTTTAATAATTTCGCCATGGATGATTTTTTCAATCCTTCGGAGAGGGAGATATGACTGGATCGAGGGGAGAGGAGGGGGGGGGGCGGGGGGGGGGAGGGGATGTGACAGACACTGTTAGCTGAGAGCTATTTTCTGTCCGCTCCATTTCACAATTTTGGTACAGCTAGTCCTAAATATAACACTAAATGTGACTAGAAAGTTCAACAGAGGAAGGAAAAACACGCACTCAAACACAACCGAATGTTTCGACCAAAGTCTCTATCAACGGAATACTAAATACGGCACAAACTGTGACTAGAAAACTCAACGAGCAAGACAACATAACTAAAAAAAAAAAAAAAATACTTTGTGTTGGTTGTGCGATGTCCTGTAAAGGATATGTAAGTAAGTTTTTGTGTGTGTTTTGTTTCAGAAACAAAATTTAAAATATAAAATGTCGTATTTCACCAAGCCAGGCGCATGGTTTTAGTTTAAAAGTATTTGGACAAACGTGATATTCGATGGAGGATTTTGTTAACATCAGGCGGGCACAGATTTCCTAGCACCTATTTTCAGGTTTGGACGATCTCGGAAATTTGAAACAAACCGCAATACAAGGCTGTCGGTTGTGGTGTTAAAATATTTATGAAACAGGCCATGTTTTATGCATGTCTTCTTCTTAGCGTCTACATGCTGTAAACTACGCTGGAATGTTCTGTTTGTTTGTCCACTTCTGCACTTGCTCTTGTCCCAGAAACTGAGCTTTGCTTGCACATTAGCTTTACAGACCTAGATTATTTTACGCCGTTCAGGCAGATGCATTCGGACTTCTGAAGAAACGTCTTCTATTGGCCTACCACGACATGCTTGTTAGAGGCAATAGGTTTATTCTATCAACCAACCCCTAAATGTGGCCTCAGAATCCTAATGGGGAATTATTGCGAGCGAGACATGGACAGTAAACAGACAAGCTGAACAATATTATCGGCCAATGGAGAGTAGTGTCGGGGGAAAATGTCAAGAATATAATGGGTGGAAAAATAACGAATGGGACAGTCCTTCAGGAAACAGATGAAAGCCGTAAAGTTATCGCATAATTAAGAAAGCTAGAAGCGAGGACCCGTATGGAGTAAAAATAATAGTTTCTGATACACACACACACACACATATATATATATATACATACACACACACACACACACACACACACACATATATATATATATATATATATATATATATATATATATATATATATATATATATATATATATATATATATATATACCCACATATGCTAAAAACTCTGGTCTAAACTCAATGTCAGAAACTGAAAGAGTTGTATGCAACAATAGATGTAAACTCAATGTCAGAAATTGAAAGAGTTGTATGCAACAGAACGGAATGGAGGAATAGAAAGCGAGCCCTAAGTGACGTCTAACGGCTAAGGATGATACTGATATAAACGTACAACTTCTGGAAAGAAGAGGCAGACGCTGACTTCCGCGAAGGTGGATCCATAATACCGAGGATGCAAAAGCTCTGAAAGCACATAGGGTTGGATAAATGTCTATAGAAAGAAAGACACTGGGGCCACTGCATCATTCTGTAAAGGAGCTGCTGACTATTGATGGTAACAATTAATATGATTGGTACCTCTGCGTCTTTCCAGACGATAGCAATTGTCAATGTTACTAGCAAGAGACGCCTGCGTTAAGAAGTCTTCCACAATTAAAGCTTGGGATTTCAGGACCGCTGTTTTCAACATTTGTGTTTACTGTGTTTCTTCTCAGACGCTCAGCTCTCATTCTTTCTGCAGTTATGTCAGCCTTCATTCTCAATCCGTTCCTGATCTGTCCACTTCACACAACACTGTCCATGGCATTTTGTTCCCACAAATGAACCTCATTACCTGTATCCTTCATGTCCCGATTGCACACATATTTATATCGTCGTAGAGGTTGACCTCGACATAGTCTAAACGTCCTTAATTCACCATAGAGGATGTCTATAGAGGATTCTGCCATCATTCATTCTCCAGGCGTGATTCAGCCAGCTGATGGTGGCAATAGAAAAACAGTGGGAAAGAGACAAAGAAAAACACACTGAGAGAAAGAAAGAGAGAGAGAGAGAAAGAGAGAGAGAGAGAGAGAGAGAGAGAGAGAGAGAGAGAGAGAGGGGGGGACAGATAGAGAATGTGAGAGCGAATGAGAGATGAATGGTTAGATTTATAAAATAATATAGAAAGAGACATTTGCAAGTGAGAGAAAAAGTGTAAGCCATGGTGCTTTATCACACTCAGAGAGGAAGACCGACCGACAGACAGACAGACAGCCAGACGGACAGACAGAGAGACAAGCAGACGGATGCATGGACGGACAGACAGACACATACACAGACAGACGAATGGAAAGACAGATTAACAGACACACACACGGATGGACAGAGAGACAGACAGACGGATGTATGGACGGACGGACAGACAGGTAGACAGACGGACGGACACAGACTAACAGAAACACATACGGACGGTGAGACAGACATACGGACTGGCGTACAGACATACAGACAGACAGACGGACACA